TGGGAAAGGTTGTATGGATGAAAGGAAGAGCCAAGGGGGGCTTGGGGAGGAAGCCTGTGGGAAAAGAGGGGAGTGAGCAGCTGTGAGGGTCTGAGAGGAAGGCGCGTGTGAAGGGCGATGCGCAAAGCAAAAACATGAGGAGAGCAGGAGGGGGCATGAGGGGAAATGGCTTGCGGGGGGTGCGGAGGGAGACGTATTAGGGATTGGGAGTGAATTGGGGGGAATGCAGAGCGAAGAGGCTTGGGAATGTTGGAATTGTCTAGTAGGTCCCTGAGAAAATCAAGTAGGGCCTTAGGAAAGGGGGGGAAGTATTCAGATTTAAGGGGAAAAAAATGTATAATGGGGCAACAATGGAAATGGGGCTAGTAAATGGGCCCATGAGAATGGCCTTGCGAGCGTTACACTAATCTTTGCGACTTAAATGCTTTCCTGAGCCAAAACTTCATGAAACAGAACAAAAAATGCAGTAAAGTGTGCTGTGTGATCCAGTGTGGTTCAGGAGTAAAACCTCACGCGGTGGTTGCTACTAGCAGATAGCCGAGAAATGCAGAGTCCAAAATAAGAAAATCCAGGTTATCACAGGGCCTTGAGGCCTCCCTCCGTGCCGCTTTTCCCCCTTTCTTTCCTGTTGCAGCCTCAAAGGACGGCAGCTGGGTTTGATTTTCTTTTTTTAGGATGTCCTGCGATGCGTTTGAACGTATGTGTTGGATAAATGGGGCCGAGTCCAGTTGGAGGCCTGTGGCCAGTGGTGTCCCCCAGGGTCAGGTCTGGGCCAAGTGCTGTTCAACTTGCTCATCAGTTACCTGGACGAGGGCACGGAGTGCACCCTGAGCAAGTTTGTGGATGAATCCAAGCTGGGTGGAGTGGCCGACACTCCGGAGGGCTGTGCTGCCATCCAGAGGGCCCTGGACAGGCTGGAGAGCTGGGCAGAGAGGAACCTCATGAGGTTCAACAAGGATAAGTGCAGGGTCCTGCACCTGGGGAGGAATAACCCCAGGCATCAGTACAGATTAGGGGTCGACCT